AAAGAGACGATTGTGATTTAAAATAAAAATAATAAACTTTTTCCTACTAGACTATTATGAGGCAGCAGATGTGCATTGACTATAGAAAATTAAATGATTAAACAAAAAAAGACAAATTTTCCTTACCATTTTGTACATCAAATGATTAAAATGCTTGTTCAACATTTGTTTCTATTTTCTTGATAGATATTGTGAATATCACTAAATAGCAATAGCACCAGAGGATCAAAAGAAGATGACTTTTGCATGTCATGTGAAACTTTTGCTTATTAAAGGCTGTCATTTGGCTTGGGTAATGCCCCTGTAACATTTCAAATGTGAATGAATGCTTTCTATTTTTTCTAATATGATAGAAAAGTCATAGAAATTTTTGTGGATGATTTTTCTATGTTTGACTCCACATTTGATGATTGTTTGTTTAATTTATCTTATGTTTTGAAGAGATACCAAGATACTAATCTAGCATAAAACTTGGGAAAATGTCACTCTATGGTTGCTGAGATGAAAGTAGATAAAGCAAAAATGGCAATCATAGAAAAACTCCCTCCAGTCATTACTATGCATAGTGTGCATAATTTTTTAGGTTATGCAATATTTTATTGTAGGTTTACAAAAGATTTTGCAAAGAATTCAAAACCACTGTGTAATTTGTTAGCTAAGGAAGAGGAGTTTAAATTTGACTTATATTTGTTGCACCTAACAAGAATTTACCATTTGAATTAATATGTGATGCTAGTGACTATGCAATAAGTAGTGTTAGGTTAAAGTAAAAAATAAGTTGTTGAATGTCATCTATTATGCAAGTAAACTATTAAATGAAACTCAATTATACTACAATAGAGAAAGAATTGTTAGATATTGTATTTGCATTTGATAAATTTAGATCATATTTAGTTGGTTCAAAAGTGAGTATTTACACTGATTTTTTTTAAACGAGATGCTAAACTAAGGCTTCTTAGATGGAATCTCTTATTACAAGAGTTTAATATGCAGATAAGAGACAAAAAAGAAGTTGAGAATGTGATAGTTGATCTCTTTCTTAGAATATTGATAAAGGAAATTTAAGACTCAAAATATGAAGAAATGAAAAAAGATTTTCTAGATGAATGACTCTTAGTTATCACATATATTTGTTGGTATGTTGATTTGCAAATTTTAAAGACGGGAGAATCATGCTTGTAGGGCTAACTTGGTGCAAACCAATAAATTTTTGCATGATGCCACGTATTACCTTTGGGATGAATCTTATTTGTATAAAAGTTGTGTTGATGGAATTATAAGAAGAAGTTCAAAGTATTTTTTGACACTGTTATAGGTCAAATAATAAGACATTTTGAAGGTAAAAGGACAACTGTAAAGTGCTCCAAATTGGCTTTCATTGGCCAACCATGTTTAAAGATGCTAAAATATGTGTTGAGACATGTGATAAATGTCAAAAAGCTAGAAATTTATCACCACATTGTGACATGCCCATAACATGCATTTTATAAATGAAGTTATTTATGTTGGAAAATTTATTTCATGAAGTTGTTTCTTTATCCATTTCTAAATAGGTACATTATTATGACAGTGGACTAAGAGTTACAGTGAATAGAAGTTGTAACTTTACCAACCAATTAAAGAAAATTAGTAATTACTTTCATAAAAAAAATATTTTTACTAGATTCAATATTCCTAGAGCTATAATGAGTGATAAAGGAACTCACTTTTGTAATTAATAATGTAAGAATTTATTGGGTAAATATGGAGTGAAACACAAAATTGCTACCATCACCAATTAAGTGGTCAAATTGAAGTGTCTAATAAAGAATTAAAGAGAATTTTAAAGAAAAAACTATAAGCTTGAAACAAAAAAATTAATAAAAAAAACTGCAACATAATTTATTGACATATCATACAACATTCTAAACACTTATTTGAATGTTACTATAACAATTAGTGTTTGAAAAATCTTGTCATCTTCCAATAGACTTGAAGTACAAAGATTTTTATGCAACTAAATTTTTAAATTTTGATCTTAAAGAGGTTAGAAAGAAAAGAGTCTGGTAGTTAAATAAGTTGGATAAATTTTAAACTGAAGCATATGATAATGTTAAAATATATAAAGAAAAGATAAAGAAGTGACAAGAAGATTAAGTATAAGAAATTTTCACATGACCATCAAATCTTACTTTATAACTTAAGGTTGAATCTTGTCCCTAAAAACTCAAATCAAGATGGTGTAGATCATCTATACTCAAATTGGTGTTTCTTTGTGAAGGGAGAGCAGAATAAAATTATTATTAATATTATTTTTCAACACTTAAAAGTTTGGTACATTAAGATTTATGGCATTAAACAATTGTTTCATAAGAGACAACTTATAGCATTTATATACACATACACATGTGGATGCATGAATGCTATGGTACACATTTTTGCTAACTATGTTTTAGGCTTAAAAGAAAAAGAAAGAAAGGTGCATTCATGAAAACTTAATGACAACAATATGAATTACACAATTTCATGTCTATTATTTTAGAGTATCAAGAGAGAAATAATAAAAAATGTATTCGGTAAGCCCATTATATAATAACATTACTAGTTTTTGAGAGTTTCTTATTTGTTAATTTTTTTAAAAAAAATATAATGATGTTTATTATTATTATTATTATTATTACAATAAACTACTTAATATTTATTTTATTTTACATTAATAAAAAATATTTTTACAATTTATTTTAAAAATATATAGAATAATAATTTATTGAACTATTTATTCATTTATGTTATTAAAAAATTTTCAAAATTTTTTATTTAAGAATTTAATAGTTTTAAATACTTATTAAAATACAAAAAATTAATCATACTCTATATTTTTAAAATAGATTAAATTTTGTATAATATTTAACATGAAGATTATATAACAAGATAAATTTTATAATAAAATTAATTTTATCAATTGCGTATAAAGATAAAAAAAAAATTAAATTCAAGTGAAATATATTTATTAAATTAAAAATTTTGTAGACATTTTAAAATTATAAAATATAAAATAAAAACAAGTTTGAAATAATTTACCTTATTATTATAAGAAGTAACAAAATTTAATTAAGAGTTATTTAATAAATTTTTTATATAAAATTTTGTGTTATAATTTGGTCATAAAATTAATTATAATAAATTTAATTTTTTATAAATTATACTAAAAATTTCATTAAAATAAATGAAAAAATTATAATGATTTTTAGAATTTTCTAGAGTCTACACATTGCCTTCTCTCCATGGGCAAAGAATAATCATATAACTTTAAAATTGGAGCCCTAGCTTCCGCCATTGTCGCCGTATTTTCCTTCTCTTACCTACGCTGTTATTGTCCTAGCTCAACATTCATCAACCCTCGATCAACTCGCTTCTCGTTAACTCAATTTTGGGTCCGATAAGACGAAAAATCCAAGCTTGTGGATTAGAAGGGGATCATTTCGTTGATTCTCGAGCTATGGTACGTTCATATCTGACTGTCTTGTTCTTTCTGTCAATTTTATTGTCTGGTTCTAATGGGAAATAGAGAAATTAATAAACTTGTGTGTTTTCGTTGTTTAGTTTATGTGCGCAAAGGGAATTACAATTCTTCCTTTCGATTTTTTTCTCTTCTGTTTCCATATAAGATTTAATTGTAGAATTTTATGTTGGGTTCTTTGCTGATATGTAGATTTTAAATTAGATTGATTTCTTTCCATCGATTGTTATGTGGGTTTTACAATACACAGAAGCTTAGCTAGTGCTTCGTTTATTGCCTCTGAACATGCCATTTGTGCATAGTTATGTTGAGATTTTCTTGGGCATGGCTCGGTTTGTTTGGGATGTCATAGGTTCAAGACTGAGACGCGGTGGTAACTATTTTACGAATGTTGATGGAACAAAAGGAAAATTAAAGGTGAAAGAGAGGAGTGTTGATTGAGGAGGTCATGTAAGTGAGTATGGAAATTGTACAATTTGCCATTTGAAATGTGGTGTATACAACTCAGTTCTCATATGATACAAATCAGACAGCCAATTGGTATATGGCTGAATCACATGAATTGTTGGAATCGTATGGTTCAGACTTCAGATTGGAAGTCGCGATTCTAGTGTGAGAAGTGATTCATATGCTGCAACTTCTGATCTGCTGTGCTGGTCTGCAAAGATGGGTTAGAGGATGACCCGAAATGAATCTGAAGAGAGAATGTGAAATCTGGTCCTCTTTTTTGTTTTAATAAAGACAACCTAAAATTGGTGTCATCTTTTTTGCTGGATTTTCCATGCTTTGGATCAGCATATCATGTGGTAGGTGGTTTCTACTTTCTAGTTTCCAAGGCTATGTTTTCAAATGAATTAAGTAACCGCTTTCACAGTTTCACCATTATGAAAGCAATGCGGTTATTTTTCTTCCCAATTAAATTAAAAAATTCAAACCAATATAAATTCTAATACTTTTTAATTTTCTTGAATATAAATTCTAATCAAGATATATTTATCTAGTGAAATAAGTTATACATGCAGAATTACATAATTTGATTTTGTAAAAAATATATATATATATTTCTTTTACTATTACTTACAATTTTTTAATATTTGTCAGGTACTTTTTATTATATTACTGAATTTATACGTAAATGAAATCTTTTATTTATTAAATTAGAGTATTTAACCTTATATCCAATCCTTGTTGATATGTTACTGAGTTTGTCATGATTGTTCCTAATAGTGATAGTATTAGTCTTGATGATTGATTGTAGTATTAGTTTTAGACTCGGTTATGACTTTGAGTTATGGTTTTGTTTTTTATTCCTAAATTGAGCATTATATGTGTAGGGTGTGTTTGGATAAGCAAGCATTTATTCAATATGTTATTTTCACATGAAAGCTTATGACATAAATTTGATCATGAATCGTATTAGAATTAGTTTAAAAGAGCTTATTTTGATAAGTTATGTTAAGAAGCTTATTGTAATAAGTTATAAAGAGCATAAAACAGTGATAAGCTATTTTCATATACTGTCTGTAAAGTCTTCCAAACACTCCCGTTGACATATTTGAAGTTACTTTTAATCATGGTTTGAATCTTGTGATTCAATTTAATTTACAATTAAAAAATTGGGCTAAACAATTTACAATTTTAATAGCTATTCAATTTAATCTGCTATCTGTAAATGCTTTTTATACAATATATTTTTTGGAACTTTCCCTCTATGGTGAAACTTTAACTGAATTGTTTATGCAGGCTGCAAAGATTCTTGCGAACTTGATTGTGATTGGTGGAGGAATCTTGGCAAGGGCATTTGTTCAGGCATATCGTAAAGCACTAGCTAGTAAGATTTTCAAATTTGTGAATATGGACAGATTTGTGATTTGTGTGATAAGTATGATATTGTGTGCTATTTTACTATTCAATTCTGTGATTTTTAGGTGTTTGTTTTAGTTATTGTTTGTTTCTGTGATACTGCCACTGTGCTTGATTCTGTACCATAGATTCACGAGGCTACATTCATCCTAAAACCTTCTTTATAATCTCCTGCCATCATTTCTTTTTTTACATGTCCCTCAACCTTTAGAGGTTGATAACTTGATACTGCGATGGTTTATAATCTCACATCTGATTGAGGCTTGTGTATATTGTCGCTTACATGATGAAGCCATCTGAAATGGTTTTTTGTAATTTTTCCTCTGTGGAAACCCTTGCAATTTTCACTCTTATGATCTCAGTCCTAATCTTGTCCTTCTGGCCAGTCATGCATCATTTTTGTGACCTTAAACTTTTGGAGGAATATTGTCATTAACAACCCAACATTTTCTCCAACTAACACTGTAGGTCTAACTTTTACCTTTAATTTCTTTGGCACTTTATGGTCACAATATATTCCATGCATCTTCTCTCTGTATCCATCCTACTTGTATTTGGATGCAATGGGTGACAATTTGACATCATAATCAACCTCTGTCCTTTGAACCATTCCACTGGACTCCCTTTTGTATCTAAAGCATTTATTTGATCTCTGCAGACCTATTCATACTGGAAAGTCCTGACACCACCGCATGTCTGAAGATTAGCCATCCCCTCGATGGATCAATTTAGCAGACAATCTTCTAGGCAGTACCCAAATTGATTTTTGATACAGTTCAGTAGTTTCTTTTCTTAGCATCTGTTCTATCATATGCTTCTGTAGTTTTGTGGTGTGATTTTGTTAATCTGTTTCCTTTATGGATAAAATTTTTTGGATATCACCTTTGATCATAAAGAGCTAACTAGTTTCCTTCATTGATTTGGCATGAACTAGTTTCCTCATGTTGATGAAATGAATCTTTGATAGTGTGCAACATTGCTTTTTGAACAACATAAGTCTCCAAATCCCTATATAACATTTGATACTTATTTAAAAAGCTTACCAAAATAGCTCCTTAATTTTCTCCTTAATATATCGTTTTTGTCCTATAACAATTCTTTATTCTTTGATACACTTAATTTGTGTTAGGTCCTTATTTTTTCTTTCACGTGTCGTGTCTTAGCCACTTAGTTTTTCTTTCACATATTGTGTCTTAGCCACTCTCTCTATCCCTCTACACACACCCATGCATAGCGCGACTCGAGATCTTCTCATTTTCTAAACATTATGTTATTCCAGATGCCTCAAAAAATGGTGTTGCGCAAGAGACAATACAAAATACTATCCGCAGATCTGGTAAGGTGATGACAGAGCAAGAGGCTCGGCAGATTCTTGGTGTTTCTGAGGAAACTCCCTGGGAGGAGATTGTGAAGGTTAGCATACCATCTATGCCGTGGTTATATTATCCTTCTGGTGTCTGAATTTTTAAGGGACTGTTTGGTTTCAGAAAAAAGTTGTTTCTATTATTTCATGTACAAATCTTTCACAACCAAAAAAAAAAATAAAAATAAGGTGACTTTTTGTAATTAAAAGTGAAAATAGAAAAGAAAACAGAAAATGTTTTCTAAAACCAAACAATTTCTAAATTATTGTTATAATAATTGCTTAAATATATTTCTTCCATGCAGAAATATGACAATATGTTTGAGAAAAATGCCACAAATGGGAGTTTTTATCTCCAATCCAAAGTTCATCAAGCCAAGGAATGTCTAGAGGCTGTTCATCAAGGCAAGAGTCAGGATACCCCTAGTTGAGAACTCAATTTTTATTCATCATATAATCCTTGTGTATATCATTTTGGCCCCCAAGTTGTATACGATTTGCGTAATCAAAAGTTCCTGAATTTTTAATTCTTTTAACCATCTGAAAAATTGTAAATGATTAGCTGGGGATTGACTACAAATAGTGAAGGCTATCTATAGAGCTGAAGTGACGTAATTATTATTTTAAAGCATAATCTTGATCACGATGAGAACAGTAGGCAATAATGGTAATAATAAACAATTCCATATGGTCGGTATAGGAATTCTTTGAGCTATATACGTTGTTCGCATGTTCATTGTTAGCTAATATTCATACTCTAAAAGTTGTTTTCATGTTTCTGTCATCTTTTGCTAATGCAACTGCACGAAAGTACATCTGCGTTTGTTGTTTTCGTCTTTTGTCGTGTTTCACTGATGTTCTCTTAGTCGATATCAAGTATGATAATGTCTTGGCACGTTTCACTTTCATTAGATTCGTATTAGCATAGTGATAATGCTCATGTGCAGCCCAATACAAGAGGTTAATTAATGATGCTCTAAATTTCAAGAGTTCTATTGCAAAAAAGAAATGGTGTTGATTATATTTAGGCTTTGGAGAAAAAAAAATGAAAAGTTGTAAACTACTAGAAAATTTAGTATGCATACGAATGTGCTCGTGCGCAAACACACTCAAATATATACATTAATATATAATCTAATTTACGAAATTCTTGATTTATTTAATTGAATTTTTATTGATAATTTAAAATGATTTTTTTTTCTCTCAAAAGTGTATATGATATTTTAGTTTAATCATGTTCTAGCAGTAAAGGTGCAAATGCATTATTAAATAAGCTCAGCATCAGCATTCACAACAAAATTGTGAGAAATTTACTTTCATATTCAAAATCTGTCTTTATTCTTAAGGATAATATTTTCAAATTATATTTTTAAGCCATTTTAGAAATTATTTTAGTTTTTATTAAGTTACACGGCTTTTGTTAATTTGAAATAATTTTTTTGAATAAATTAAGTTTTTCAAATAATTATAATCCTAAATTAAACTTAATTTTAAAATTTGACATCCCATATTAGTAAAATCGATTGTCTTAAATTTAGCAATCCATTTTCATAATTTTCTCTTTAATTTTAGATGTTTTTGCCCTTTAGTTTCGTCAGATTTAATATAATAAAATTATTAATAATAATGAAAATATTTATTATTTTTATTTATAAATTTTATTTAAATTTTAAAATAATCATGCAATATATCTTTGATTTTTATTTATAAAAATATTTGAAAGATGAAGAAGAAATTATTAAATGATTAATTGTTATAAAAATACAGTAAAAGCTTCAAAATTTACATTATTAAGCATGTGCTTATTTTAAGAAAATGTTTTTTTTATTTTCACTTTTAGATACTAACACACACCTTACATTTTTTTTTTTTCTACTTTTGAATGTGTGTACAGATAAATTAAAAAAAAAAACACTCTTTCTTACACAAATCATTGAATATAGAAATAAAATAAATATAAGGTGATATGTATTATCCCAAAAGTCACTGTTACTTGACAGAAATCATAAGACAAATCCTATATCATTGAACGATAATGTTTTAATCGTCGTCTCATATTCACTGATAGAGAAGCACATCGTGTCCATGCTTATCCTAGCACTGCTCCTTTCATTAATCTCTCAACACATTTTTTATTTCATTGGAGCCAATTGTCAAAGAGTTATTAACTCACCATATTTTTATTATGACCTCACATTAATATCACATTCAAAACTAAGAAGGTAAACGTATGTGCCATACATGCCAACTTTGTAAATGGCATTAGCACTTCTGATCCAACTACTCTTTTGTTCTTTACCCAAAAGTGGTAGGTAAGCTACCAATCCTGAAAGCAAATCAAGGGATTGTTCCACTTCAAAACTTGAACATTTCTTACACATTACATGTATTATTCGTAATATTACGAAGTAGTAAATTTCAGGTTTTGCATATTTTATCCTAAATAAACAAAGAAAACGATTCAAATTTGTTATCTTTATTCTGCCAAAAAAGATGGGTATTTTTATTAATCCGAAAGTAAAGTAAGTATTTGCGAATCATTCAGCTAACTGACTCACAAAATTTAAGAAATAATTTTAGGAGTAACAAGTTCGACAATATTTGAAAAGATTTATATGTCTAACATGTTTACTCAAATAGATGGCTTAGAAAAACACCTGCTCAGGATTTTTGTTGTTGAATTTACTGGTTTTTGTTTGAATTTTTTCAATAAATTAATTATAGTTTCATATCTGAATTAATTATTTTTTTGCATTATTTAATTATTTAATACTTCTAGATTTTTATCATCAAAACAGTTCAAAATCTGTTCTTTATTAAGATGGAATTGATGTCATGTCACACCAATGAGTGTAGGCTTGAATAGTGAGATCAAACAGTCCTTAACTAAAAGCTTCATTCAATTTATATAGTGGACTTTTATTCATAGGTCTCAATTCTAATCATAAAGATGTTAAGAACGGATAAATGCTTTAGGCTATTAGTTGATTTTTATTGTTTAATGACTTGTTCAAACTCATTTATTCGTTGTCACCTGACCCACTCTGTTTGAAAGTCTTCTTAATTATCGTTTTAATTTGTTGTTGATGCATATATGACTTTAAAATATAAGAATATTTTATTTTAAGTTTTTATTCAAAAATTAATATTTAAATACATATTTTGTCCCCATAATTTATATCATTTGAGGTTGCGTACTTTAGAACATTAATTTTTAGTCCTAATAGTTTTGTAAATTTATATTTTAATCTTCTGATATTTTTTTTTCATTTTAGTTTTGATTTCTATAAGATAACATAAATTTGTTTGAATGATTCATGTGTTCTAAAATGAATAATTGTATAAAATAGGGAATTATATAAAACAATATCAATAATTAATTTAAATAAAATCATATCATAATAACCACTAACTTTAAATTAATAACAGGTATATTCATTCAATTTAAAAAATAAATTTTTTATTTAAATAATTATACCTTATAAAAACACATATCTTCACATATTGCTAATATTATGAATTAATACCAAAAATTAAGGAATCAAAGTTAAAATTGAATTAAACTATAAGAATAAAAAATAATTTAAAAATAAATATCATTCAGTGATAAATTAAAAATTTGAAGAACGTTTTAATGTCATTAATTGTTGAAATTAATTTAAGATAAATAAAAAGGAGATTAAGAAATCATTTTAAATAATATTGATTTTCCCAAAGTTAGGTATAGTGTGTACCCCACGTGTCGAATTGATGTTGCGGACTCTAAGCTGCACACGTGCCATGTCCTTGTTTTTTATTTGAGCGAAAATCCCGATATTGACTGCTACAATCTTTTTTTATATTTTTCCATCTTAAATAAATCTCATTTTATTTAATTAATAATACAACTTTGTTCGTTACGTTAATCTCTAATCGCCAAGTTTAAGTGGGACCACGTTATGGATCACCTCACATGCTTTCCACGTGCACGTCAACTTCAAGAAAACCAGTAAGAAATTAAAACTATGCGACAAGATCAGCATAAATAAAAATACCAAATGGTTAATATTAAAACTTGTTCAAGAATATTTTAAGAGTGTTAATTGAAGAATTAATATTATTTTATTCAAATTTATGATAAAAAATTATTAATATTATATTTTATAATTATTATTTTTTATCTAAATTACATGTATTATTTAACGAAGATAAATTATATTCAAATTAGATAAAATTATTATAGAAAGTAAAATTCTTATAAGTATTTAATACAGTTTTATTTAATAAAATTTAAACTAAAGCTCACATGTTAAAGTGGAATAATTCTAATAAATCATTGTAAGATCAGAAAAGAAAGTGACGTGAGGTAGTTTTGAGCGAGACGTGAGCCTTAATTTCACGCAATCCCTCTGTTATTATGCTTAATTCCATTCATTCATAATAGATAAATAGGAAGAGAAGCACAAAACAAAATTGAATTTACATTTAATAATTTACTGCAACAGTTACTTTGCTTGTCGTTTTGATAAAATGCATTGGATTCTAGAATGATAATTGCTTTTTTATTTGGGTATTTTTTACGTGCTTAATCAATCAATTTTGTACAAATGCCAAGTTAATTGTGCTTAAAGTATAATATAATTTGTGTTGACTGATTCTAATCAATGGGGATACGAGCAAAAGATCAAGAGCTCCACACGTGTTAACAATCTTTTTATCCACTTTCATTCAAATATTTTAATGTATTCAACCATTTGAAAAAAAAAAAAAACAATTCATAAATATAAAGCTAATTAAGAACTGAGTTTAAACACAAGTATGAAATTTTTTATTTTAAAATTTTTCTAAGTTGTATTTACAATTAACGATTATATATATATATATATATACAAGTTTAATTTTTAATTTTCTTTAAACATAAGTCCTATATTTGATATAGGACCCTTGTCTAGCTCTATAAGCATGTGAAATTCCGAACCTGCTGAGTCTGAGGTACATTCTATGTATATAGCACTATAGCAGCACCAATCATTCTTCAGCTCTTCTCACTGCCTAAGATTTAGAGGATTCATGGTATTCAGAAACAATACCCAAAAAATATCAATTTATGCTTTGTTAGAACATAGAATATAAGCAATTTGCCTCTGCAGTTGTTATGGGTGTTGCTCAAGGATGATCAATCAAATACTGACTATAATATCCAATAACTATTTTAAATGCCACCAAATTGTCAAGTACAATTGCAACAGTTGGGGCATAATGTCTCAGTTCAGGAATCCATTGCATAAAATTGATGTACCTAATTTCACATTGTATTGACTGAAATTATACCATTTCACAGTTCACATATGAATATAACATGCCACATATGTTTGTGTAATGTTAATAACAGGTATAAATGTCTCATGATATAGATGTAGATATTGGTGACTTGCAGAAGAACCTTTTTAGAGATATATTTAGAGTCATTAATTGTAATATTTATATACTATTCGTGCTATTTTTTAAAAAAAAGTAGAAGTTATATTAGATATAGTATTAAATTACACTATACATTTAAAGAAGAATTAGCAGCTGCGGCTAAAGCTTCATCTCTACCTGTGGAAGAGTCACCATTTCCAAAAGGCAACCCCGATCTTGCAAACCTCTGGTAGAAATTAAAAGATTTCAAAATAAATACCTAAAGGTAATTTTTTTATTTAAATAAGTATATTTTGATATATGTATATAAAAAGGATAAAAAATTATATAAATTATATAAATACTTATATATAATGTCAAAATAATATTTTTTTAAAAAAATATTTAAATAACAAAAATAGAAGTATGAAGTTAACTATATGTTATTAGCATCATTAAACTTACTTTAATACGTATATATTATGGCACAGAAGAATTTTTCGCACTTTATATGCAAGTCAATTCCTCAATACATTTGCTGTTTTCCTTTTTAGAGTGGTTTTAAAATAGCAATGTTCTTAACTGCTAAGTTTGGTGCATTTTCCTTCATCACTATATTCTTTTACAGGTTTTCAATATGACTAACTGTTTCCTGCATGTAAACCCTAAACAGTAAACATACGCATACGAGATTCTGGGTGACAATTGTACCAACTTCTACAGTTAATATATATTAATCTATATACAAGTTCAAAGAACAATAAAAGTAGATGTTTTTGTACCTAATCCAAGTTCTTTTCAACAGTCAATGTTGTCATTTTAAGAAATGACACTTTTTTTTTTCTTTTTATATTTATGGATTTTGGTTCCACTGGCATAACATTATTATTATATTTTAATATATTACAGGTATAAAATGTTAACAAAGATTTTCATTAAAATATAATTTAAAGGCCGGTGGGGTCAATTATGCACACGACCCAACGTGGCTACTTTAAATAGAAAATTGTGTAGCCAATATGAACAGAAATGGTGTACTAGTTGTCCAAAGCCTCACCAAAAATGAAAATAATGGCTGAGCAAACTATTTACAGATAATATTGCACGTTTATCTGTGCTCAATAATTCTTTTAATAGTTAAATTAAAATGAAAATAAGGGTAGGCCTTCGTCGAAATATGAATGAAGTGGGCAACGTGACTGAATGGAACATTGCAAGCTTCAATTGGAGCAATGGTTTTTATTTCTATTCTTTAGTTTTCAGTCACTGTCGGTGCTTTTCATGTTTGAGTTTATCTTTGTGCAAGATTCAAGGCAAATTAAATGTTTTTTTCGTTTTACAAAAAATATATTAATCTCTACTTAGTAATTAAAATAATGTAAAGATAATTTAAAAAGATATATCAAAGTCCTCTGGGTTGTGCTAGACATCACGAAAAAACACATAATGGAAAAGCTACCATATTCAGCAATACAATTCTCATGGAGGGGGAACTTAAGTGAAGTGGTCTAATAACAACAACTGCATTTTTTTAATCATTATTTAAGAGACGAGATCAACTATGTCTTTCAAATCCTTGTAAGCACAGTTATGTTTTAATTTTAATTTTGGTGGCAAAGTATCACAATAAAGTTGATGTATTTGTTACGTACTGCTTGAGACATTCTTCTTGTGGTGGGCCAACTCAATTACAAATTTCTAATTTGTGTTCAAGTACTGCCAAATTTAATGTAGCATGTTGATAAAATCTTTTAGTCAGTAAATTTTAATTTGGTAGGTACATTAATTTTTTTCATTATGATATCAAAATCATGTTGTCCGATCTTTAAATTATATATATATATATATATATATATATATATATATGTATATATATGATGGTGTTTTGCTGATCATAAATGAATAAACTTGTTCATATATAGTGATTGGGAAATTTTTGTTTTTATTGCTAAAGTATTCTTATAAAAATTTATATATGAGTTCAAATCATTGCACTATCCGGATTGATAATTATTACTAATTAAGGATTATCAACAATTTTTTTAACTTTAATAATTTTTTATCATTGTAATTTCTTTATTATTACGTTGAGTTTGGATAAAATTGTTAATAAAAAGTTATAAAAGATTAATATAAATTAAATTATTTTATAATTAAAAATTAACTTAGATTTTTATTTTTTTTAAAAATTTGAGATATACTACATGTTAATTTTAATTTACGAGAAAAATTTTATTTATATTTTTTTTAGGTATTAAAATTTTACTATTTTGAATTATTGTGTTTAAAACTTAAGAGAACAACTTTATAGTACGGTTTCTTGTAGAGTATCTACTCTACATGTTCCTCTTTGTATAGAAAATTTAGACAAGAAACTTTTAAGGAGTGTGTGTTATTCTTCTCTTAATAGTTAAAACTGAGGTTTGGTCAATCCTAAGCCACCTACTGATTCAATACAAGTGGCTGATTTATTATTGAATTTTACTTCAAAAGTACAATGTAGTTTATATTCTTGAAGCCTGCAGAACTTTATCACCTCAAGTCTATGTCTTGGGTCTTGTTACATAACTTGATAACATTTTTCAAACAAGTTTCTACACTGAAAAGTATAGGTTCAAATTTGATCAGTTCAAAAAGAAGCCTTGAAATATATAAGCTACACTACAATTCTTTAATGCTCAAAGACCAATATTCATTCAAAAAAACAAGTTTTAGACAAGTTGATTGTTAAGCTTGCATAAAGTCTTTCCCCTTCTCAGACTCAGGATCCACATTGTTTGAATTGACTGATCCACTTCATGGCCCTCTCAATTAAGAAAAGTAGCACAAACATTCATACTGCGGGCTATGTTAACTACCCATTTTAGTTGTAATGAGCTTCCTCTCTCTCTCTCTCTCTCTATCTATCTATCTATCTAATTGACAATATAATAATATAATCGTGAGATTAATCTTAGAATTAAGAGTATTAGCTTCTCTAAAAGTGATGGACTGTAGGATTTGAACTTCTAAAGTTGGAGGAAGAGATCCTTTTGGAGTTGTGAAAATTTTACTATTTATTTGAATTATCTTATTTTATTTTTAAAATATATTACAATCTAAATTCTACTAAAATTTTTAAAAATTAATATTGTTCTAAAATTCATACTAAATTACTAGGTGAGGGAGGATGTGTAATGACAAGGACATGCGCATACTTAATATTTCGTTCAAGTATAGCCTTAGTTTAATCCAATAAATATAGTTACATAATTTGAATTAATTTATCTTGTTTCATGAAAAATTACGACCAAATTAAAATCTCTAAGTGAAAATAGTGATAGTTACACAAAAATTTTAAAATAAAAATTACACACAAAATGAAAAACGTAAACTATTTTGATAGATGTAAAGGAGTAAGGTGAAAAGAAGAACAAAAAAGCATATAATTTAACAAGATGGTGTAAAGTTGTGAATAACATAGTGTGTGTACATATCCTTAGTATATTAAAGAAAAAATATTTTAGTGCAACATGAGCTGATAAATTATATGTTAAATATATTATTCTTGCTCAGTAAGATTGGAATAAATGAACATATCTAAAATGGCCCCAAAAGATAAAGAATCATCATAATGATCATCACCAAGTCTCCACAAAATATTATTGAAAGCGAGCTGAAGTGTACAAACATTTAGATAAAATCTGTAGTTGTAAAGCAGATAGCAGACACGTTATGTAAAAGCTATGGGTTTATACGTCTTTCCATGGATAATTGAGAGAATGTTAACATAAAACCCTTTGAGAAATGGAAATAAACTAACCCTAAAACCTAAATTGCTTCTTTGTCTTCACCTGCTACCCTTCATCAGTCATCCTTTAATCACTCCACCTTTTCTGTTTCCAAATAATCTTCTTTACATGAATAAGAACAAAACAACAGTTAAATCCAAACTAGGGAATTTACCATCGTTTTGAAAAAAAAAAAAAAAAAAAAAAAAAAAAAAAAAAAACAATAACAAGTCGTTTTTCTTTTTCCTAAGTATGAATCAAAGGAAAAAAAAAAGTAAAAATTAATTAAAAAAAGGAAAATGTGAAGTAAACTGAACTTCTGTTTCAACCAGAAGGTGGTGGATGGCCACTAGTATCTGACCATGTGGACGGCGGAAACCCCGAACCGCCGCCTCCGCTGCCGCCTTCCGGTGGCCGGTAAAGGTTCATTTGTTGAGATGAAAACAGGGGAAGTGATGAAGCAGAGGAAAATTGAGTAGATGTTGAAAATGAATGGAATGGTGTAGGTGAGATAGAAGAAGACAATGAAGGTGATTGAAGTGAAGCCAATTGTGCATTATAGTACCACTGTTGAAGCAAACTAGAAGGGTGTTGCTGTTGTTGTTGATGATGTTGAGGTTGTTGAAAGTCACCAGAACTCTGTAGAAGCTGAGAATATTGCCAGTAGTCTCTGATCAAGTCAGAGGACGCCTGAATTTGTTGTGGCTGCTGCTGAATGAATGGTGGCGGCGCGGCGGCTGAGGCCGCAGTGAGAGGCCGGAATTGGGTGTTAGAGGGATCAGAAATGGTTAACCTAGTGGCTGGAAAAGGTTGAACTGGTGGAACTGCTCTAACATTTTCAGGGAAGTTTAGTTTTGCTCTGTTACCTCTGAACCTTAATGCAGCTTCATCATAGGCTCTTGCTGCTGCTTCTGCTGTATCAAACGTGCCAAGCCAAACTCTTGCTGCTTTGTGTGGATCACGGATTTCTGCAGCCCATTTTCCCCATGGCCTCTGCCTCACTCCCCTGTACCTTCTCCTCCTTTCACCTCCTTCTTCATATGAAGCCGTTTCGGCCGCTGCCACAGCGGTGGCGGTGGTAGTTACGGTTGTTGTTGCGGTGGTGGGGACTTCTTCTGCCACTGGTTAAAGTGAAAGGCAAATATAACTTACACCAAAAGGTTGCATAGTTGCACTAGTGTAGAAAAAAAAATGTCATTGTATGATGAGTAGCTTAACTTAATTTCGAACTAAGGTTTTTGTAACTTGTAGCACTGTTGTATAGGCAATTTTGGTATGTGAGTATGTTCGGTTTATTGAATTTTTCTTTGTGATAGTATGGTTTTGGAATATGAAAAGTGCTTGGATTAAGAAAAAAATGAAAAAAGAGTAGTATTTTATGCATGGAATTTAAGATAAAAGTTGTGTTCCTCTGCACTTGGAGGTAGGGAATGGGAATTCAATGAAAAGAAGGGTGAGTACTAAAGACAGATTATGGTGCATGGTTTATTCAACAAGTTGGTTAAGTTTAACAATGATAAATAAATTGGTTTAAAGTTGTTTAGAATAATGCAAATAATGATATTCCTTATACCCCATTTATTGTTTAAGATAAAAACGTATGATTGTTGTTGTGATGATTGTATGCAAAAGAATGTTTCATGGAATGATGAAATAGTATAGCGAAGTATAAAGTATCAAGTAATTGCACCTGATGATGAGTCGCCTTGAGAAGGTACCATGAAGTCACCAATGGATCTGAAGAGTCTATGAGCACCTTGATGTTGCATCAAGTGATGAGAAGAACCACTCTCTTCTTCTTCACGCCCTCTCTTGTGGCCAACCCATGAGGCAGAAGAAGAAGAAGAGGAAGGGAAAGAAGACAAACGTGAAAGAGAAGATGCATGTCCAAAACCTGACATCATAGGAAAACCACTTTCCTGGACCCATTCGGTGCTGTTCCTCTGGCCAGGCCCTGATGACACCACGTGTGTCAAAGCTGAAACCATTTCCTTCAACTCTGGATCCACATCGTACCCTGATACATTCACCCCTTGGTTGCTGAATCCTAGTGACTCAGACACCCCAGAACTTCCACCACCATCACCATCATGTCCATAACCATATTCCTCATCATCATCACCGCCGCCGCGCCGCCCCGTGAACCGGGTGTACTCGCCTGACCCACTTTGGTGCGCCACCGTTAGCAAGGACATGTAAACTATGTTCTTATTAAAATTTGGACCCAAGATTACCAAGATCTACTCAGATTTTTTCTTGTATGATTCCTTCTTTGGACACCCTTTGAGATAGTATTGAGAATGAAACGGTTATATAGTATAAGGTGTGCAAAATTAAGCATGTGGAATTAAGCTAGCCACCATTAAAATAGTGCAAAGTGCAAACTCTAAACTTTGCCCAGTGCCTTACTCTATAGCTTCCACCATGCACACACATAAACATCCCTTCACCACCTTTACAGTTTTTTTTAATTAATTTAATTTTCGTGGTACACAAATTGTCTTTGGTTTTCTAAAATATAAAAGGAAAATATTTTTGGTATTGTGGAAAATACGTAATAAAAAAATGAAGTGAATAGATATACGGTTTGCCGCCTCTGAGAATTTTGGTATTTATGTTCACACCAAACTGTCTTTGACTGAATAAAAAAACAATTAAATCGAAGGTGCAAAATGTAGCTATCAAGATAACACCTTGCAGCAGTCTTTTTGCAAATCCTTAGCCTTTGTCGGTGTAAATTTAGAGATAGAGAGAAACATAGATGATCATGTTTGAATTGAACTCTCTCACCATAAACAGTCAAAAATTATTTTGTTTATATATCAAACGTTTCTTTTACCGACATGGCGGGTTACTAATTTGGGCTAGAATTATTGTGATTAGCCCCTAATTAGCTTTAATGGGTCCAGCTTAAAAAAGTTCAGAATGAATTAACCTATTTAGAGTCTTTTTATACACTTTGATAACAATATTATATGGAATAATATACATAATGTATTCTATATCTTCAAAACATGAAAAAGAAAATATTTTTTTAATAGTTGAAAAGACATTCTTACGAGATAAAGGCAAAAGCTGTAAGGCACTAGTGGGAGGTGCAAATTGATACAAGATTTAAAGGCAATTTGCAAATTGGTCTTGGTCTTCAAACATTGATAAGTAAATTTAAGTGTTGATTCACAAGATAGATATATGACAACAATTTGAATTTTATTTCGAATATTAATGGGGTTATCAAAATATTTGGTTTTTTTCCAAAAAGGGTTAAAAAATTTAATGAATCCCATTGTATGGTCAAAACACGGCTCTCTGTTATGCAGAAGCCAATTCTACAAGAGTCTGGTGTTTGCTCGTCATCATGAACAAGAAGAATCAAACAGGACCATACTTGTAAATTGATTTTGAATTCTTCAAATCTGGTGTTGTGCACTTTTTTTTCTCGGTGTCTACTCTCATATTAATATTTTTTTAAAAATATTAAAAAAAAATTTAATGAATAATTAAAAAATATTAAAAAGTGTGATCTACATAGTTAATTAACACTTTTTTGGTGGAGACTTTAAAGGCGGTTAAGTAAGGTCAACTAGTTTACTGGGTCGCTATGATCGATCCATGACCGTAGAGATTCTTTTTATATTGGTCATTTGAACATAGAAGATACAACAATGTTGTTCGTAGTTCTATCTAAATAATTATAATTATTATTGACATATGTATCATACGTATGAACTATTGTTGATTAGAACTGCATTATCACTGTCCTTTATACGTGAAAATGGAAGCACCACATTTTAATATAAAATTATGAATCTTGTTAACTAGTGTTTTTCAGTCAAGAAATTAATAAATAATACTTTTTATTAAAATTATATTAAATTAATTACATTAATAATTAAAAGAGTGAGTTCTTTTTTCACGTTTTAATAAAAAAATATTTTTTATTTCTTAACTAGTATTCTAAAATACTAAGCATTATTGTTTAAAAATTAATATATAAGTAATTAAAACGAAAAAATTATTTACTAACCATACATAACTTTGAAAGAGTGATTTTATATATATATATATATATATATATATATATATATATTTTAGTTATTTATAGTCACATTTAATAATTATATTTACTCTTCTAATTTTTACATTTATATATATCGACAGAATCACATTAAGGCTTGGGATAATCATGGCTATTTCAAATATTTTATTTTATTTTACGCTACTTAAAAAATTTGAACACGTTAATTAGCATTTATACAAATATAGTGGGTTACTATCAAACAATTTATTATCCATTACAGAATTATTACTGGGCATAAATTTAATCATATTTTTTTATTCATATTATGGTTAATGAATAATTATTATTTTCATGAACTTTTGATCGAATCTAATTCTTTAATCGTCTTTGATTCTCACAATGAAGTCCCCGTATCATTTTTTTTATAAACCTATTTATATTTTATTCTTTCACTCAAAATATTTACAAGTTAAATTAATTAATTTAAGCAAAAAAATTAACAAAAGGACCAAATAATTTTAATTTCAAAATAGAAAACTTAATCTGGATAAAAAAATACTTAAAAAAAATCAAAATTACACAATTTAAATTAAAGGGATAAAAAATACGCTTGAAACTAATAAAAATAAATAAATTCTTGCACACAATCTCAATAATTATTTTAACTTTGTACATCTGTATGTATACAAGTGCGTGTAAGAATTGAAATTTATTATACAAGACTTAATAATAAAAAAGTTTAACAGAAAGTAATTGTTGCTCGCCGAAAAATTATTTAAAACAAATATTTTAGTCTGGGAATTTTTATGGTATTTTATATCCTTTCAACACGTAAAATAATAATAATTATTATTAATTTGATATTAATAAATAATAAAATTATTAATTTATTTTTAAAAAATATAAATAATTTTTAATTTTTAAGATATTAGATATGTATAATTTAATTCTTGTATGCTTTTGAGATGTGTTATGATTATAATTAAAATTTGAAAAAATATTAATCAGTTTTTAAATTTGAATTCAAGTATTTAAAAATAATAAATTTTTATTAAAAATATTAGCACACTTTTATGAATTTTTTATTTGTAATAAAAAATATTTTTAAATATTTAAACTTAATATTAAGGATTTAAGTTAATAAATTAATTGTAATGGAAAAAAAAATTGAAAGTGAAGGTATGACAGTGACAATGGCATGAGATATAATTTCATAGTGATAGAAAAGAAGGGTTACACGTGTGTTTTGTTCGGAAATCCGTGATAGGAAGATGAATACGAAGAGTACGGTCCACCTCTAAAGTAATCATCATGCCTTCACCTTTCCAGCCCCATCAAACATTAAATCACTATAGTATATTTTTAAAATCAGAATATAAAAACATAAAATAAAACAAATAAAAGGTTATTTTTACTATTTCAATAAAAAATTTACTTTCTTAAAAATTAAAATATATTTTTATTAATACTTTTATATTTTAAAATAATATAAAAAAATTAGTGAATAAAATATTTTTTGTTTAATAAATGTTTTCTAATTTTAATAAATTGGTTATATTTTTAATCGGTTTTTATAATAATTAACTATATAAAATTAATTTTGTGTTTATAAATTTAAGGAAAACATGATTTTAAAATAATTAATTTTATTTAAATTGTATAAAATAATATTTTTTTAGGGCAAAACTATTAAAAAAATACAGAGTTATTTTGAATAGTTAGTTTTGTATTTAAAAATTTAATCATTAAAAAAAATTTAATTATTGATCAGAAAAGTTTTCAAAAATTTATGAACGAATTTTCTAAGAAATATTAAATAAAGTTAAATAAGATTTTTTATAGGATAAAATAAGCTTATAGGATAAATTTATCATCATATATTATTAATTAAATATTTTTTATTTAGACCATGTGTATTTTTAACTAAACTTAACTGTCTTGTTAATTTTTTTAAGTATTTAACTCAATTTCATAATTAAATAAACATGAAAAAATATAAAATAAAAAAATCATTCAATTATATTCTCTCGTATATCATATCAATTAAACAAGCTATTCAAAACAAAATCAAAATATCAAATTATTTCAAATGACTTGCTAATTGTCCTTCAAATATTAATTTAGCATTTATTTAGTAAAAAAATATTACAGAATCAACTAGTTTTGGGTTGTTCAATGGAAAACCAATCTATTAACAAGTTCAATATCTACCATCAACAGTGATTTATTGCACAAATTCTTTTCCATATTACATTTTATATTATGTTTAATAAATATTCATATATTTCAGTAATAATATTTATTTAGCTCGCATTTATTTATACATTAAACTCTTACTTTTAGTTTTTATATAGCAAGACATATAGCATGCATGGTCCATTTTATGTTAATTTGATATTAAAAGCTTTAATTTAATTTACAATTATAATGATTTCAATCTCTATCGAAGTAATTAATTTTAAATCAATATTTTCAATGATTTAAAGATCAATTTGAAATATTGCTCACACGACATTAATTTGCTGTTGCTTCAAAAATTTATTACTTGTCAAATTGATGTAATATGTTTCGGAAGGCTAAATTATTGTTGTTCAATTTTTTTAAAGAATTAAATATATATTTATTTTGTTTGCTTTTGTTCGTATTTAAAATTCACGATGCTGAATTTCAAGTGGTTCCTATACTTTGGACCAGTCATTTTGCTATTGACGTTGACAATCTCTAGGTGCAATGAACGATGAGAATATTTATGAGAAAAAAAAAAGCATAAGTGTAATATTAGGTTTTTTTTTAGTTAAGAGTGTAATTTTATAGCAATTTATACAATAAAAATTAATATATAATTAAAATAAAATTCTAATTTTAACTAAAAAATAATACTAAAACAACTTACAATATTATATTTAAATTTTATTTTATTTATAAAAGCTGTTTGGTATTTAAGTAAAAATGTTAGTAAATGAAGCATGTTAAATGAAAATGAAAATATGAGTGTTCATAGTTCAGCTCAATTCAATGTAATTTTTATTTAAAATGTTATTCAAACTGCAAATAAAAGTAAAACAAAAGGTTTCCTTTAATCTATTTGGTTATCCTTAGAGACTGAAAAAGAAACTTTGTTGCTGGTTTCTATTACTCGCTATCTTCTTGTTCCCCTCTTGAAGTGAAACTCTG